ATACACCCCTGTTTACAGAGGTGCTGAGGATCTCCCCTGCAGCACCAGGTGACAGGTGCATACACCCCTGTTTACAGAGGTGCTGAGGATCTCCCTGCAGCACCAGGTGACAGGTGCATGCACCCCTGTTTACAGAGGTGCTGAGGCTCCCCCCCTGCAGCACCAGGTGACAGGTGCATGCACCCCTGTTCACACAGGTGCTGAGGATCTCCACTCAGGTCCTCATGCTTACACAGTAGAAGTTCTTACCAACTGAGCCATCTCCCCATGTCCATGTCACAGTTTTTACTGCACAGGTATAAGCATGTATATGTATGCCTTTTTAAAAACTAATCACTGGCCACTAACCTTCATCCAGAGGTTTTTTCTCCTTGGCTTTTAAGAATAGAAAATGCATTTTTAAAAAATTAAAAGCATCCTCATCTATGAGAATAGTACTGGAGGGGATTTTTAGAAGCAAAATTATTAACCTATAAACAGGTCACATTTCAGACATTCAAGTAACTTTTACTATTCTTCATCAATATGGCATAAGAGAGAGAATACAGGAATAGAAGACAGATTGATGAACTATGTAAATAAGTAGCTATTATGGATTTTAGTTTCTTGTCAGCAAATCAAAGGCTGATGTAGGTAGAAAGCATCTTGCAAATCCAGTTCAAGTGCCTAGTCCTGGGGAATTTATGGTATTGTTTAAGAACACTCCCAGTCTTCACCTCTCAATTTACATACAAAAATTTTCATCACACTTAGAATATTCTGGAATTTTATGAGACAAAACTTGTCACCTCACTAAGGCAGTCAACACAAAACAATCACGGAGCACAGGTGTGCCCTATGTACACAGTTCTGTCACAGGCAGACTCCAGCTTGGTGACTTGCTCTGTTTCGTGTGACATACAAGATGCTGAGCTGGGTGCAGAACCCTGGGCAGCTGGGCCTCTCCAGATCAGCACTGCTGCACTGCAGGGCGGTCCTATGTGCCACCAATGTGTTGTCTGCTTCAAAGTGCTGGAAGAAAGACATGGAACTCCATGTCTGTGCATGTATGTCTGTGCATCACATGTGTGCTTTGTGCCTGCAAAGGTCAGAAGAAGGCATCGGAGCCGCTGGAACTGAAGTTACAGATGTGTGAGCTCTCATGTGGGTGATAGGGAGCAAGCCCAGGTCCTCTGCAGGAGTAGTGAGTGCTGTTAGCTGCAGAGCCATCTCTCCAGCCCCCAAAGTATTTTCTTTAAATCATGAAGAAATGGTATTGTAGAGATGGACTAATTAAACATATCACAGTGTTTATACACCTCAAAACACCATATTAACCCAACCATTAAAATAGTTATTATATTTCTATGTACTAATTAAAAACACTGTAAGGATAATAAAAGTAAGGTTAACATAAAACCATCAACTGGGCGGTGGTGGCTCACATTTTTAATCTCACCACTCAGGAGGCAGAGGCAGCGGATCTCTGTGAGTTCAAGGCCAGCCTGGTCTACCGAGTGAGTTCCAGGACAGCAATGGCTATACAGAGAAACCCTGTCTTGAAAACCAAACAAACCAAAACCAAACCAAACCAAAAAACCGCAACAACAACAAGAAAACAAAACAAACAAAAACCCACCTAAAATAAACAACAAACGTCGCTGGGTCATGGTGGGAGAGGCTGCTGTCTGTGCCAGTACTTGAGCTGCCCCTCGAAGGGGAAAAGTGATGCGGAAAACGATGGATTTTTTTAGGTGATTCAGAGAGAGTGATCAGGACTCAGAAGGAATTTACCCAGCTGACACTACTGAGTGCAGAGTTACAGTGGCCATGGAGCCTTCTTGGCATTTTCTTGTCTCTTATGAGAGTTGCATTAATTCTAGCCAGCAACCCATTGCCTGCTCAGAGCTCTCCCCAGCATCCCTCCTAGTCGCATGCTGATACCTCCTCCAGCTAAAGCCATAGCTCACTGTGTTTCAAATGGAACCCTGTGCCTCTGTTCCACCTCATCTCTCCTGGGCTCCAGCTTTTCTTAGACAACGAGTGAAGGCTATACAGACAAGCATAATATTGGGGAGAACAATGATTGTCTTTCTTCTTGATGGTGTCTTCTCTTTGAGCCTTAAAAATATCTATAGCCAGCTCCAACTGGACCAAGAGAGTCTTCATCCAGTAACTGATGGAAGCAGATGTAGAGATCCACAGCCAAGTACCAGGCCGAGCTGCGGGAGTTCAGTCAAAGAGAGGGAAGAGGGATTATATGAGCAAGGGGAGGGTCAAGATCATGGTGGGGAAATCTACAGAGACAACTGAACCAAGCTTGTAGGGACTCATGATCTTTAGACCCATAGCTGTGGATCCTGCATGAAACTGGACTAGGTCCTCTGCATACGGGAGACAGTTGTGTAGCCTGGTCTGTTTGAGGGGCCTGTGGCAGTGGAATCAGGATCTATCCCTGGTACACAAGTCCGTTTCTGGAGCCCATTACCTATGGTGGGACACCTTGCTCAACTTGGTTCTGACTCAACTGAATGTCCCAGGCTTTGCTGATTCCCCATGGGAGCCCTTACCTTTTGGAGGGGGGGATGGGAGGGTGGGTGGATGGGGGAAATGCTGTGGTAGGGGGAGCAGGAGGAGGGATGAGAGGGGGAATCTGTGCTTGGTATGTAAAATGAATAAAAAATTTCTTAAATAAAAAAGAAAAAAATATCTATAGCATGGTTTTTTTTTTGACATTTTGTGAAAACATTGTTACATTCTTGTATGCTGGTTCTGTTATTAATTCTGAAAATGTACATAAATGCATTTTCCTAATAGGTTAATTTTGTGTGCATATGCCATCTGAAATATGAACTATTTTTTCAAGCTCCACAGTGAACATTTTATAGCATTACATAGAGCCAACTGAAGTTAGCAGCTCAATCTAATTAACTGTTCTTTAATGATTGTGCATATCAATGGGACACATTTGATATGTGCATAGGATGTATAATGGAAAAATCAGGATGTTTATTATTTCTTGTATTGGCAATATTGAATTATTTTCTTCTGGTTATTTTGAAATATACAGATTATTGTAACCTGTAATCACTTTTCTGTGCTATATAAAATTAGAACTTTTCTTCCTCTTTAACTGACTGTTAGTATTCTATAGCTTTTATCTCTGCTTACCCTTCACATTCTCTAGTGATCACTGTTCTGCTTCCTACTTTTGTGAGTCAAATTCAAGTTTGCACACGCCTAGGAATACACATCCCTAGTTATTCATGCTAAAGTTATTTCATTTAACTTAATTTCCTCCCATTTCATCCATGTTGCTTCAAACAACAGGATTTCATTCTTTTTTTTTTTAAAAATTACTGAATTGTATCAGTCATATTTTCTTTATTTGTTCATCCTTTGATGGACATGTTGGTGGATCTTTTTACTGAAACATTTGGCTACTAATTAAAGTACTTCTAGGCATAATCATTTCTTATTTTAAGTATGTGAAGAAAATTGGTGTAAGATTTTGTACTTAATTGGTGTCTGGTAGGTCAGGAGACAGCATTTCCACTCATGGTGAGGAGGTCTTCCAATATCTACTCATTAAGCAGCACAAACCCAGCATCTTTTAAGATTCTGTGCTAAGATCTTCTGCATGCCGGGACAGCGGGAGGCACAAGTGGACTGAAATGGAGATGCCATTTCTTCCTTCACGTTAAAGCATGCGTGCTAGAATCCACACTGACTACTGCCATGTTAGTTTTAGAATAGTGGTTTTTTTTCTTTTAAAATCAAATAAAGGGTATAAATTAGTTTGAGCACTCAAAAGTAAGGATGAAATTTAATCACATATAAATGTAAAATTTAAATGCCATCCTTAGTTACATAGCAAATGAGCCATTAAACTTTAATTTAAAAGTAGATGAAAAGTTGTCATTTTTATCTGTGGTTCCTTCCACTACAATCCATTTAGTTTTTGATTTCTAAATAGGAAGCTGTCTTTCATCATCTAGTTTGAACAAATAGAAGATCACATTTCTAATAGACTCTCTCTAAATAGCTCTATAATTGTTTCCAGTTTGCATTTTTAAAAGGTACACTAAATAATGAGAATCATTTTTGTTATTTTTTTCATGTTGCTGGAATTTATGCTAAGTGAAGAATATTTAATGAGCAAGAAAGAGCTGGAATAAGAAGAACAAGAGCAGAAACAACCTTTTTACAACTTAAAGATCTTCCTCAAACATCGCATCTGTACAGCTGACCTGAGAATGCAGGATTATTTAGTAATTAAAACACAGAAGTCTGACTGGATGATTTGCAGCTAGTGCTTGATGAAGGGGGCAGTTCTGAGGAAGTTTTTAACCTGAGGGGAATCAATTGGTGTTTGAAGGGCTGAGCGCTCATCTATACTTGCTATCTTTTATGGAGCACAGAAGTTTTGACTTTATAACGGCTCATTCTAAATAACTTAAATTTGTTTCTATTGCAGAACACACATCTGTTTATTGTAGCATGTCTGGATGTCTAAAATTACTTAACAATTACTAAGCTCTGACAATGAGATTACAGACCAGTGTTTTAGCTTATACCTGTGGTCTCTTACTTGTTCACATACATATTTTTTGCAAAACTATAATTTCAAAGTTACTACTTGTTTTTCAAAATGCAGTATAATATTCAGGAGATCTTTTATGCCAATTAAAAACATTCTATATTTAAATGATTGGTTTTAATGTGCCACAGATGTAAAGGTATTATTTTATTAGACATTTAAGAGTTTATAATGCTTTAAAAATAAACCTTGCTTTGATGAATATTAATGTTGCCATGAGTTTGAAGGTACAGTTGTGTTTGTTTCCCTTAGGATAAATTCCAAGAAATGGAGTCAAAGAGAATATCCTTTCCAGAAGCTTTGGATTTACATAGCCAGATTGCTCTTCAGAAATATAACCCGAGTTCTCCCTGAGTGATACCTTAGGAAGTGTATTGCTTTTGTGTAGTGTCGATGGGGTCTTGTTCAGTTGGAAACGTCACCAGGAATTTGTTACTGTTACAAAGTAGAAGGACAGAAGGAGAGACAAATTACATAGTAAAGACTGGAAAGGTTATTTTCAGGACGAAGCCAGCGTCTACTCTTGACATTTGGAATAAACCTTTAGCAGACGGTCAGATGGTCAGGGTAGCAGATCATGTGTGAAGCTTTGTTTTGCCCATTCAAAGCTTCATTTGCTCAAAGCCTTTTTCTGTCTTCACTTTCTCCTCTTTTCTTGTTTAGACATTCTTGTTGAGGGATATTTGATCACATTGTGAAACCTGAGACTCTTAACAAAATCAACCTTGGTTCGGGGGCAGAGCCAGTGACTAGTTGATGGGAATTAGACATAGAGAGGATAGAGGAGCCAGGAAGATGGATAGAGAGACACACAGGAAGCAGTAGGGCGGGACTTGGAGTTTTGTGATCTTTTTGGTTTGTCTGGACCTCTGGCCTAAAAGGAAGTTCAGCTGGTTGCTTATGGGCCTCCCTGAGCTAGCAGGTTTTCACCCCAACATCTGACTCCCAAGTCTTTATTGGTAAATAAATTGATATAGACTTCATTACAAAACTACATTTGGTGGCAGGGGCAGAGCTTGTGCAGCCGGGACCAGAAATCACGCCAGGCTGCTGATTGCAGGGCTGCAGAGGATGGTTAAAACATCAATAAATTCAGGTGCAGACGCTAGGCCGACAGGAAAAACAACATTATTTCCTCCAGATAGCAGCACTGATGTTTGGCAGGTTGTTCTCTGAGGGTCTTCAATAGGCCCAGGTTATAGGCTAGAAACAGCCATCTGACTTGCCATTTTGGGACAGTGTCCTGCATTTCGCCAACTGACTATCTGACTTTTACCGAGACATGCATCCTGGTTTCACCTTTGTGTTAGATTCTCCGGAGACGAACCCTGAATTAGAGGACAGGCTCACAGGACCACAAAAACTGTTCTTTAAGTCAGAGAGCCAGGGAAGCCAGATGCTTGGCTCAATCCATGAAGATGGAAGCCTTAGACTCAGAACTGCAGCATCAGGCTCTAGACCAAGGCCAAAGCTCAAGGTCTCCTGGAGGACCACTGGTGCACGTCTCAGAATTCAGAGCCGGGAAGAACCCTGCATACAGTATTCAAGACATAGCAAGAGAAGACAACCCACTAAGGGAGAGCCAGAGAGCTTTCTTTTGCTTCCCTGTTCTGCATTCCTAGCCAGTTGGATGGTGTCTTCCCTTGTTGACAGCAGTTACCACCCAATTCATCTCAATCTTCTCTGGAAATATTTTGTAACTATTACAGCTTTGTACTTTGAAACAGCTACTGTCTGAAACATCTAATATAAATGTCCTTACCATAATACAACATAATACAGGGCTATCATTTTTGAATGTTTAACTGTTACTTTCCCATAAAAGTGTGTTGATATTAGAAGGTGATATCATAAGCTCAGTAGCCTATTTAAGCCTCCTATAATCCTTCCTCCTATAATCCTCTGGTCAGGAGCACCAGAGTCAAGTGACCTAATGTACATTTATAGGCTTATGCTACTCCTAGGGAGTCAGACACTCTGGGGTGGGGACCTGCCTCCCTTTCTAACAAGCTTTCCAGGTGATTCTACTGCATGCTAATGTTGGAAACAGCACTGATCTAGGATGATATCCAGTGGCTCAGGAGGTTTTGTTATGCCGGGATATTTGTAGGAAGCTTTTTTTTGTTATTTCTGTCTGTATCTGAAGCAACTGAGGCACACAACAAAGTCTCAAGACAACTTTAAAGTAGACGGAGAATCATCAACTTTTGCAAAATTAATAGGAAACACAATACTTGTGCATATGTATGTATTTATATATATATATACATATATATATATGTATGTGTTTGTGCATGCATGTATGTGCATGTGCAGGTGGAGGTCAGAGGATAATCTCAGCCATCATTCCTCAGGGCCTGTCTGCCACTTTCTGAGAAAGCTTCTCAATGCCCTGGAGTTCCCCAGGTAGTCTAGGCTAGCGGGTCGCAGCGATCTGCCTGTCTCAGCCTTCCCACTGCTGGTTTACAAGTGCTCGATGCCTGGCTTTTTTAAAAAACATTTTCCCCCATGAGTTCTAGGAATTAAACTCAGGTTCTTGTGCTTGCAAGACAAGAATTTTACAGACTAAGCTGTCTCCTCAGCTCTGGACAGTTAGTACTTCTAAAATTACTGAGACTGCTCAGTTGTCTCTCACAAGTGTGCTGTAGTCGCTGTTTGGCATTGCTCAGCTGAAGGTGGATTTCCTCCGACTCCCCCTTTCTCCAGGAGTCAGACTCACCCTTTCCTCTAGATTTGTGATGATGAGGGGTCTTGGTTTGGTGGCTTCATTCACTCTACTTCCTCTTGCAAAAACAGAGACTTGAAAGAACAAGTATCCACATTAGTGCTTTTCTCACACGTGTTACCCAGTTGGGCCAGTGAGATGAAGTTTGGATTGTGAGAAGATCTTGCTTGAGTTAACTTGGGTTAAAGTGAAGTCAAGTGCTATTATCTGTGAATTTGAGGTAGCGTAGAGTGTGTAAAGACAATGTGAGTCATAAAACGTGTGTGCTCACTGTATCTTACTCATGAGCTCCACAGGAGGTCCCAGCAAACCAGCTGCCCAGTGAGGATAAGGACCTGCTACATCAGTCAACTTCCTCAGACTGTGGTGAGGTCCAGAACCCAAGCACAGACACAAGGCAAACAGCCCCAGGGTTCCCCTCGGTGCTTCAAGTTCCCTGGGACTGGTCTATTTAGAAACTGCTTTTATGCATTTCAGTTCTCCCAGGTATGTTCAGAGCCACTTTCCTTGAAGTTGTGAACAGAGGCATGGGAGGGTGTGATTTTAGAAGGTCTAGTGGGAGTGAGGAAGGGGAACTGAGAGATACAGAGTGATTTATTGCTTAAAAGTCCCCAAGTCTTCTTTGGGTTGTTGATAAATATGCTTGCCAACTAAAGATGCATGGGATTTAAAAATCCATAAAATGCTTCTATCCAGTTTATCATCTCACTACTTGACTTTTTCTCAAGAATATTTTTACTCTTTAGAATCTTGCATAATATGAAGCAAAAAATCACTTATGCTCTATGCACAAATACAAGAAAGTGAATTTTTGTTTAAAGTGGGTAAAGAATAAATTGAACTGTATAAAAAATGTATAAACATAGCCAGGCACAATGCACAATCTTATCACTCAGGAGGCTGAGATAGTAGGATTGCAAGCTTGAGGTTAGCCTGGACTACATTTGCACACACAATAATCAAAGATCTACTATCAAGTCATTAGTTAATTATTAGACCAGCCATGAGAACTGAGAAAAACAACCCCAAGTTAAGGATGAAGGTACAGTGTTTAAGAGAGACCTTGTTAGGTTAACCAAAACCATCAGGAAATAATAGACTTACCCTCTTACTTTTCTTGTCCCATAAAGTCAAGACAATATTGATTGCAGGAAAGGCGCAAAGCTACACAGAGAAAGAAACTCTTCTCGAAAAGCCAAAAAAAAAAAAAAAATTAAATGATATCTATCTATCTGTCTATCTATTATCTGTCTATCTATCTATCTATCTATCTATCTATCTATCTATCTATCTATCTATCTATCTAT